GGAACGCGACGAGACGACCAGCAGATGGGGTACGATGATAGGTCACCCTTGAAGTGATTCAGAGGATGCCATGAGGACGAGGCTGAGGTGGTGGCCGAGCTGTATAAAGGGTAATATATGCAATATCTACTTCCCACTTCTGTCCACATCTAGACCTCGTGGTCTGGCAGGGGCGCCATGTGCATGCCCCACGCTCATTGCCCCTCGCTTTACCCATGCCTGTTTGCGCCCCTAGCAACTCCTTTGGCCGGATAAAAGGGAGGCCAATCTTGACCCAGTCTCACACCCTCAGCGACCTTCTCAGTGACCGCTTTTAACCTGAGTTGCCCTCCCGGCTACCAGCCGGGAGATCCACCTAGCACCGTTCTCCGTGTATCGTTATTCTTGTGTATGTGTTGTAACCCTTAGCAATAAAGAGAATAGCAACACCAAGGTTCCCTGTACACACCATAAAAGAAGAGCTATCAGTAAATCTCACATATATATATATATATATATATATATATATATATATATATATATATATATATATATATATATATATATATATATATATATATATATATATATATATAATATATATATATATATATATATATATATATATAATATATATATATGTGATATTTATATATTTATACATACACAATACATATATATATATATAATATATATATATATATATATATATATATATATTATATATAATATATATATATTTATATATTATATATATATATAGATGTATATATATATATAGATATATATATATAGATGTATATATATATATATATATATATATAATATATATTATATATATATATATATATATATATATATCCCAAATCAGATAACCTAAGGTGCATTCAATGAAAGATGGAATAATGCATTACCGCATTTTTATCATGAACATTATAACCTCTCCAATCGGGATTCGATCCCTCACTGCCAAAGCACGTGAATGCAAGACGGCCGCTCTACCACTTGTACAAGACCCACTAAAAGGAGTGAGAAACTAGGAGCTTACTAGCATCCATAGAGGTTACCTACCTACTCATACATGAGTAAGGATAGCGACGTTTCACACTCGCTCCCCATGGGCATTCTATGAAAGATGGAATAATGCATTACCGCATCTTTATCATGAACATTATAACCTCTCCAATGGGGATTCAATCCCTCGCTGCGGAGCAGAATATCATAGCTCACAGGAGGCTGGGATTATTTGAAAAGGGAAAGAAAAGCCCTTTAAAAGCAACATTCATGAATAAGCAAATGGTAACTTATATACTAAAGAAAGCCAAAGTCCTGGCCACCCTTGAGAAATGTAAGAATACCTGGATAAGAGAAAATATGACCAAAGATGACAGAAACACTTCGAAAGAAATTGGAAGGAGTAAATAAAAATGAACAAAGGACTGAGAAGGAAAAAAACGTTTATTTGGAGGATGAGAGGTCTCCAAGCAAAGCAAATATACTATTGGAACCAAAATGTAGAGACAAACAAACATTAACCCTACTACCAAAATTGATACTGAGATTATATAGAAATAGTTTATGCAAATAATGATGGTTTATCTTCAAAGTTGCTTGAACTAGAGGCAATAATTGATATGAATAAACCAGATGTAATATGTATCGCTAAAACCAAACTGGATCCCTCCATAGACAATGTAACATTAGGACTCAAAGACTATAATATTTGGAGAAAAGATAGGGCAGATGGAAATGGAGGGGGGGGGGTAGCAGTGTTATCAAGGAAAGGAATTATTACAAAGGAATTAGAAATTAATCAGGACCCCATAGTGGAACTGAAGGTACTTGATGTGGTAGAAACAAACAGGGTAAACATAATAATAACCACGGTATATATGCCACCTCAAACATCGGTGTGGTCACAAAGAAATTACCAAAAACTAATTCAAAAGACATTAAAGAGCCTGGAAGAAGTGCTACAACTTTCAAAAACCAATCCAAAAGAAATTCATATCACAGGATTTTAATAGCAAAATTGACTGGGAAAGTTTCGATCCCAGAGCGCAACAACATTTGTGGAATGCAAAATTACTAGAAGTCATAAGTGAGCATTGCCTTTTCCAAAATGTATCAGATCATACCAGGTTAAGAGGGCTAGATAGGCTGTCTATGCTTGACCTAATATTTACAAAGCATAACGATGATATTAAGGATATCACAAGTACTGACCTCCTTTAGAAAAAAGTGACCAAGTGAGATCTATAAAAACTGAGTGGAATAAATCATATAAAAATTCAAAATTAAAGCAAAAAATGGCCAAAAATGGTCTAATGACAAATGCAAGAAAATGAAAGAAAACAAGCATCTCCTTTGGAAAAGATTCAGAAGACAGACCTCAGGCAGCATATGAGATATAAAATAGGAAGAAGTGAGTATACCCAAACCATGAGAGAGGAGAAATTAGATTTTGAAAAGGATATAATCAACAAATGTACAATTCAATGAAAATCTTCTTTAGCTACATAGATATTAAAACTAAGAGTAGAAATCAAATTAGTGCCATCAAAGACAATAGCATTATAATA